AGCATCCCACTAAAAGTCGTTTATAGATTCAGTGCAATGCCAATGAAAATCCCCATGATATTCTTCACAGAATTAGAAAAAAACATCCTAAGATTCATATGAAAGCACAAAAAACCTCGGATAGCCAAAGCAACCCTGAGCACTAAGAGCAATGCTGGGGGAATTACTATACCAGATTTTAAACTGTATTACAGAGCTATAGTCATAAAAACAACATGGTGCTGGCACAAAAATAAACCTGTAGATCAATGGAACAAAATTGAAGACCCAAATATGAGTACATTCAATCTCAGCCACCTGGTGTTTGACAAAGGGGCCAAGAACATTCACTGGAGGAAAGACAGCATCTTCAGCAAATGGTGCTGGCAAAAGTGGATCTTCACTTGGAGAAGAAGGAAACTAGTCTCTAGTCTTTCACCTTGCACAAAAGTCAACTTCAAACGGATTAAAGCCCTCAATGTGAAATCTGAAACTCTGAAACTGTTAGAAGAAAACATTGGCAATAACCTACAAGATATAGGGGTAGGAAAGGATTTTCTAAACCAGACATCAATTGCTCAGGAAACAAGGTCAGGAATCAACAAATAGGACCTCATTAAACTAAAAAGCTTCTGTACATCAAAGGAGGCAACCAGGGACGTGAAGAGAAAACCCACAGAATGGGAGAAAATCTTCACCAGTGACACAACTGACAGAGGTTTAACATCCAGAATATATAACCAACTCAAAAAACAAAGAATCAAGAAAACAAATAACCTAATTAAAAGATGGACTAAGGATCTGAACAGAGAGTTCTCAAAAGAAGAAATAAAGATGGTTAGGAAATATCTTAAAAAGTGTTCAACATCACTAGTAATTAAGGAAATGCAAATTAAAACCAGTCAAACTTTGCCCCAGTCAAACTGGCTAAGATCAAGAGAACAAATGATACCACATGTTGGAGAGGATGTGGGGAAAGGGGGAACACTCATCCACTGCTGGTGGGGCTGCAAATTTATTCAACCCCTATGGAAAGCAGTGTGGAGAAGTCTTTAAAAACTACAAATGAACCTACCATATGACCCAGTTATACCACTCCTTGGCATATACCCAAAGAATTGATCCTACTGCAGAGATACTTGTACAACCATGTTTGTTGTTGCTCTTTTCACAATAGCTAAGAGATGGAATCAGCGTAAGTGTCCCTCAACTGATGAGTGGATAATGAAAATGTGGTATATTTACACAATAGAGTTCTACTCAGTGGTAAAGAAAGACAAAATATGAAATTTGCAGATAAGTGGATGGAACTAGAAACCGCTATACTAATGAAGTAACCCAGACCCAGAAAAACAATGTATGTTCTCTCTCAAATGTGGAGCCTAGCACCAAGTCCGTGTAAGTATGTATCCAGACATAACTACAGGAGCCAGGATAATGAAAAAGAATCAGGGAAGTAAAGGGAAAGAAAGAACCTGAGAGAGAAGAACAGTAGAAACAGTAGTAGTAGGTGTTACTAAGTGAGAAATGGATAAAAATGGGGTTATTTAAATGGGAAGGGGGCAGGAGGGTTATACAAGGAACCTAGGGGATAAAGCGAAAGAAGGAGCTCAATAGAGGTGGGACCATAGGAGAAGGGTGTTATTAAGGGAGAAATGGGGGAAATGGGGACAATTTAAGTGGAGAAACCATGGTGGAAGGGTTAGACAGTGAGAGAGTGAGAGTGTGTGTGTGCGTGTGTGTGTGTGTGTGTGTGAGAGAGAGAGAGAGAGAGAGAGAGAGAGAGAGAGAGAGAGAAAGGAGAGCTAGCTAGTTTAAAAAAAACCCGGGGAACCATGTTAGTCCAACAACCTACTGACAAACTACACATACATTATCTCACACAGAATCTTTGTATATAGCTAATGGCTACATAACAAGAAACAGTGCCAGACAGGAGAAACCTTCCTTTGAGTTGTTGGCCAGGGTGGTCCAAGAGACTCCTGAAATTACTGAAGGCTATTGCCACAGCCCTTCATGGCCTCCCAGAACTTGAAGGTAAGACCCTACTGCTGAAGACAGAACATACTTCGGACACAGAATTTGGAGCAATAGAGCTGCAACTGACCTGCAACCACTTCCCCTGAAGGCAGCTCTCATAGCTTTGGAGAGCGCTATGAAGGTGCCAAGGGAAAACATCAACAGATGATCCAACACCAGCTTCAAGACCAAATAACCACATCAATGGCCAGCACAGCATATGTCATTGGTGCAGTACTGGCACTTTTATCTTGGGAGCATCAACAGCTACCTAATTGGACTAAAAGCCCACTCAGTGGGAGGAAACTCAACTGTGGTACTGTTGAGTACTGTTGAGTACAAATACACATGACTGGAGTGGTCATAGATCTTGGAGAAAACCCCAAGACTGTCACATCACTAGACTAATGTGATTTCTTACTATGTGCAAAATATGTACCCTTATATTTACAGACAAATATCCCAGTCACCACTCATCAAAGCAGCTCATTTTGTACCAGTCAGAGACTATCATCAAGTACCACAACCAATCACACACTGACGTTGTCTATGAATTGCCCAGGCCTATGGGACACATCTGCAATGCAACCTCTACACCTAAGGCTCATGGAACATAGAACAGGGATAAAGAAGAGGACACTGATGAATCTCTCAGTTCTCAGTAACGAAGCTCCCTCAGGAAGCAGAGGGCCAGGAACACAAAAGGTCACAAATGGCTAAAGTGTAGAGATCAAGAGTCTGCTGAATGATGGTCCTTGGACAGGGCTCCTTTATTAAACTACACCCACCCAAGGCTCAGGGACCATCTCGGAAGACGGGGTGGAAAGATTGTAAGAGCCATGGAGGAGGTACAGGACCATATGGAAACAGAGTCTTACAAGCTCCTGGGAAACTGTTCATAAGATTTTATGACAATGGTGTCAGCGTACACAAATCCACGCAAACTCAGGCAGACAAAACCCGGCACAGAACTGGGAAAATGCACAGCAGACCCAAATCTTATCTGAAGAAATAGTGTCAACTGATTGCTGCTAGGTGAAGAAGATCTAATCTTCCTAAAACAAGGGACTCTAGATAGGCTGAGCAGACCTCAGTGGATGGACTTGCACTGGGGAGCAACTGGGGATGCTGAAGACACAGTGGGCCTTAACACAATGACAGGGTATATGGGCCCCATTGGGGGGTGTGTGGGAAAGTGCCAGTGGGGATGGGGGCATAAAAGTGATTAAGATCATTTGACATGTTCCATATGAAATACACAAAAAATTCAATAAAAACAAATTAAAAAAACCCAAAACCAAAATACACACATACAAATCAACAACAGCAGCAACAGGGTCCCACCTTGGAATAAATGTAACCAATGAAGTGAAACACTTGTACACTGAAAACTTTAAAATATTGAAGAAATCAAGGAAGATGCTAGAAATAGAGAGCTTCCATGTTCACAAATCACAATATTAATATGAAAATGACTATCTTACCAAAAGTGGTACAGATCCAAGTCAATCCCAATCAAAATGATAACATCATTTTTCACAGAAACAGAAACAAAATCCTAAAATTCATGTGGAAGTTCAAAAGAACCCAGAGAGCCAAATCAATTCTGATGAAAAAGAATAATGCTGGAGATATTATTACCTGATTTCAAGTTATACTACAGAGCTATCATCATACAAACGGCATATACTGGCACAAAGACAAGCATGCAGATCACTGGTTCATCTACAATATCTACACTCATTTCATTGGCAAATCTTGCTGGTGTCACTTTTTATTTATTTATTTATTTATTTATTTATTTTAATTTTATGCATATGAGTGTTTTGCCTGCATGTACGTTAGTGCACCACATGTGTGCAATGCCCACAGATTACAGAAGAGGGTGTTATATCCCCTGGAACTTGTGTTATAGATGGCTGTTAAGCTGCCACGTGAGTGCTGGGAACGGAATCAGATCCTCTGCAAGAGCATCCAGTGCTCTTAACTGATGAGTCAGCTCTTCAGCCCTTTAACTTGCATTATAAGCACATCTACAAAGACCAGTTTCCAAATAACGTTATACTTATTGGCACCAGAGTTTAGGACACCAATATGTTTTTTAGGGAACCTAATTTAACACATGTATTTGAAACGCTATGGCCAAAAACAACTTATGGAAGAAAGAGTTTATTTTGGCTTCCTGTTCCAGAAGGAGAGTCCTTAAAGGCAGGGGAGGCATGGCAGCAGATAGCTGCATGAGGAAATGCAAGATCACTTCTTCACCCACAAACGCCAAGTAATAAGAGGGATCTGGGGCAGGGCTATAAGCATGCAAAGCCCACCCTCAGTGTTGCTAGAAGTTCTTCTGGGAAGCGTAACAGTGTCCAACCCCTTCTCCTTTGGTACTGACAATAAACTGAAGTATGAATTCACCAAATTGCGGTCTGGGAAACCAGTGTGTTTGTTGGGCTTGCTTACAGAGCAGTGGGTTTGGGCTTACTTACAGAAATGTGGGTGCTCCCCTCCTAAGGATGCACTGGAAAGTCTCTATCCAAGCATGGATGGCGACTTCCCTGTGGCCGTACAAGTGAGGAGAGAGCCTCCCCTCTGTACCTTTAGCCCCTCCCCTCGTGCAGTTAGGGTCCACTGGTTGGTTGGGGGTGTGGTTGACTTTCCCTGACCCTCTTTTCTTTCAGAAGGTAACAATTAACAACCTTAGCTGTGATGATCCTATGCAAGTGGTGCAAGCAAGCTTGGGAAGATGGTTCATGGTCTGTTTGTCAGATGACAGTCGTAACCAACACCCAGTGATATGCTTCCTCCAGTAAAGCTGGACCTCTAAAACCTCCCCAAACAGCACCACTAACTGGAAACCAAGTGTTCAAATACTTGAGCCTATGGGGGACATTTCTCACCCAAACCACCAGAGCATGTAACAGTCTCCTCTTCTGTATACTGAGCTCCTGGAACCACGCTCTGGTGCTTTAACTTGTGCTCACCCTTCCTTCTGTACTACACAGGTGTGAATGAGTGTGAGGATACCACCACGTGTCCAGCTTATGCCACCTGTAATGACACTGTGGACAGTTACTACTGCACTTGCAAAAGAGGGTTCCTGTCTAGCAATGGACAGAAACACTTCCGGGGCCCAGGAGTGGAATGCAAGGGTGAGTTCATGTTGTGTGGGACCAAAAATTGTTTCCACCGTGGGGCTTTTTCTCAGCAGACCCAAGCTAACAACTGTTCACCCTGGACAGGCACCACTCACAGACCAAATAAATGATTTTACCCAAGTTAAGCTTAGTGAGCCAATGAGTTTATTGGGGTTCCTTATAGAAGTGGGTGTGAGGCATTAGTTATAAGAGTGGGGATGATTCAAAGGCAGCTGCATCACTGCATGGGTGATGACTCATGAAAACTGCATTCCCAGGATTTCTTGCAACCACTTTCAGAGAGCTCAGTTGGTTGGACGGTCTTTTCTCTCCAGCAACTGTTTCTTGCTTGTCTAACCCTGGGGAGGGTCTTGGGATTCTTCTTTCAGCTTCTTCCTCCCTCCAGGAGGAGATTCTCAGTTCAGAAGGAATGGCTCCATGAGAGTTCACACCCCATCAAATCCTCTCATATTTGGAAGGGAGATCAGGTGACTCCGCTGTCCCCCACCCCTCCCCCCTTCACACCTTCTTTCTTTTCCTGTCTGTCCATTGTGACATCTAAGCACACAGGAACCTTTCGTCTCTCCCTGTCTTCTTTCCTCTCTCATTTTTCCCTTTCCCCTCCCTCCCTCCTCTTATTCTCTCTCATCCCTTTTCATCTGTCCATCCATCTGCCCATCCATCAATCCATCCATACATCCCCCCCATACATCCACACATCTATCCATCTGTCCATCCATCTGCCCATCCACCAATCCATCCATACATCCCCCCATACACCCACACATCTATCCATCTGTCCATCCATTTATCTGCCCATACATCTAGCCATGCATCTAACCCTGTGTATATCAGTCCATCCATCCATCCATCCATCCATCCATCCATCCATCCATCCACCATTCATTCATCTAGTCACCCCACCCATCTGTCCACCCATTAATCTATCCATCTACCCATTTATATATATGTCAGTCCATCCATCAATCCATCCACCCATCTTTCTACCCATCTACACATCTGTCATCCATCCATCCATCCATCCATCTGCCATCCACCTACCCATCTGTCCATCTTTACATAAGTCCATCCGTCCATCCATCCATCCATCCATCTGCCATCCACCTACCCATCTGTCCATCTTTACATAAGTCCATCCATCCATCCATCCATCCATCCATCCATCCATCCATCCACAAGGAAACCCATCTACACACACACATCCTTCCCTCCTTCCATTTCATTTTCCCTCCCTTTCCACCCATCCACCAGTTCATTTGTTTACCTAACTATTCATAGGGCGACCCATTTGCACATGCACCCCTACCTCCTTGGCCTCCCTTTCTCTGTTAGTGGGTTAGCATTCACCAACCTATTTGTTGGGACACCCACCCACCCACACACCCTTCCCTCTCTCCCCCTCTCCCTTTCTTTTTCTGACACCTGCTCACTGTAAAAGTTCACCGATGGTTGTGCTCCAATACTGGGCAACTCAAAAGAACAAAGTAGAGGTGTTGGATATTATTATGATCTAGCAACACAATTGTATGGCCTAGGAACCCTTCAACCATAGTTATAACAATGCTTGGATTCAAGAGGAGGGACCCTAGACCCCACCAAAGTGGTAGGCTATATTATTTCAGCCATTGTTTCCAGGATGAGAGCCATTTGCCACCAACATTTTCTCTGCTCAGATGTCAATGAATGTGTTGAAAGTACACCTTGTGGTCCTAACTCAATCTGCATAAATATCCCGGGGCGAGCCAAGTGCAGCTGTCTTAGTGGCTTCTCTTCTCCCACTGGAAACAACTGGATCCTGGGAAGTTCAGGTCAATTTCTCTGTACAGGTAATGTTTTCTGGCTCTTTGGCGTGGGTGCTTGGTGGACACCCGCCACTGGGATGAGCTGTCCAAGTTTAAGTGTCCAATCTCCTGTTCACTCACCATCTCCTCTGCCCTGCAGACATTGATGAGTGCCTCACCAGTAGGGTCTGCCCTGAGCATTCCCACTGTTCGAACTATGTGGGGAGCTACAGCTGCAGCTGTCGACCTGGATTCGTGTCTAGCGGCTCCACCTGTGAAGGTACACAGTACTTTTCATCACTTCTCAAATTATTTTCGTTCATTCTGGGGTTGGAACCCAGGGCCTTGCACATGATAACCAGGAGTCTATTCCTGAGCTCCATCCCACTCTTCTTGTGTATTTATTATTTCATAAATCCATACTTACATATGTGTATGTCTGTAAAGTGTACTGTGAGCACACTCATCCCACACCCTCTATTGTTTCCATGTACTCCTGCTGAGCCTCCTTTACTTTCCAACAGTTTCCTTCTAATTTCACACCTTTAAAATATTTTATTTTTATTTTGTGCGTATGAGTGTATTGCCTGCATTTCTGTGAGTGCACCCATGTGAGGCAACGCCACAGAAGTCAGAAGAGGGTGTTGGACCCCTGGAGCTGGAGTTAAAGATGGTTGTTAGCTGCCATTTGGGTGCTGGGAACTGAACCCAGGTCCTCTGCAAGAACAGCCAGTGCTCTTAATTGCTGAGCCAGCTCTCCAGCACCCAAATTCATGCCTTTTGTTTGTGGCCCACTGTTTAATTAGAGTTGCTTGCATGAGCATGCATGAGGGGTTATTTGTGGGCACCTTACCAGTGACTACACCACTGAAGAAAATCTCTTTGTGTATAAATCCTTAGGGAATGACAGGACCTTGTAAGCTCTTCTGTCTTAGCAACCATTAGCTGACTACAAATCCTCAAGGAGGGGTGGGGCGTCATGATCCCCTCCCACTTAGCAGCCGTTAACTCGCCACAAATCCTCAGGGAGGATCGAGGTCTCACCAGCATTTATTCTTAGGCTATACAGCTATGCTAATGCAAGGGAGGCTGGGAAGCATATGTTCCCAGGAAGAATCTGCCCCCAGTCAGCACACATGCGTCTCTGGTGTGTGGCTACCACTCCTTGCTTCCTCACTTGAGTTCACCTGACTTTTATCTTCATTTCATCAGATGAGGATGAATGTGAGAATCCCAATGCCTGCCCAGAGTACGCAACCTGCCACAACACTGTTGGAAGCTATTATTGTATGTGCAACTCAGGACTTGAATCTAGTGGTGGAGGCACAATGTTCCAAGGCCTGGAACAATCTTGTGAAGGTGGGTGGAGGTGTCTGCCACGTGTCTGAACTGTGTGAAAAGTGATGAAAGATCTGGGCTGGGTTTACAAAGCAAGACTTTTGTCTGAAGCTGAAGCCAATGCCTCCCTGCCTCCCTCCCTCCCTCTAGCAGTGTTTCTGTGAAATAGACCATTACCTCCCTCCCTCCTCCCTCCTTCCCTCCCTTCCTTCCTTCCCTCTATCCTTTTACTTCCTTCCTTCCTCCTTTTTCTTCTTTCCTTGAGTGTGGGCGTATCTATGCCATGGTGCTTGTGTGGAGGTCAGAGAACAATTTTGAAGGTCAGTTCTCACCGTCCCCCTTGTTGAGACAGGGTCTTTTGCTGTTTCTGCTCTGCTTGCTCAGCTGCCCCATGAGTTCCCAGGAGATTCTCCTGTCTCTGCCTCCATCTCACTGTAGGAATGCTGGGATTACTGAGGTATACCACTACATCCAGCTTTTTACATGGTTTTTTGAGATGGAATTTGGGTTGCTGGGCTTATTTAGCAAGTGCTTTTACCCATGCACCCTCTCTGGTCCCAATAAATACATATTTTTAATTTATTTATTTTTATTTTATGTGTATGAGTGTTTTGCCTACATGTAAGTGCACCACCTGTGTGCAGTGCCCATGGAGGCCAGAAGAGGGCATCAGATTACCTGGAACCGGAGTTACAGATGGTTGTTAATCACCATGTGGGTGCTGGGAACTGACCCTGGGTCCTCTGCAAGACAGTCCCATGCTCTTAGCTGCTGAACATCTCTTCAGTCACCTAATAGCTACTTCTTGGTCACTACATTCAAGGCATTATTCTAGATACTGATGATTTAGTAATAACAACATCTCAAAGTCCACCCCACGGAGGGCTAGGGCTTCAACACAGGAACTTTGGGGGAAGCTCAGTCGGGTGCACTCAGGAGCACACAACCTATAAATGATAGAATCCAGCTTTGAATCTAGAATTCCTATGCTCACCACCCACCTCCTCTGTACCTCCTTGTAATTATTACCAATAAGCTGATGATTCCTTAGACAGGAGTTGATGTCCCTGAGGGAAAGGGAGGATCATGCAAGCTCAAGGATGAGGTGCGGGCGAGAGAGCATTTGCCACTGTGGGTTATAGAAGATCAAGGCAACCAGATTGTAAATCAAGAAGGGACTATAAGAACTGGGAGGGGGCTCAGTCAGCAAAGTGCTCGCCTTACAAGCGTGAAGAGCTGAGTTTGGATCCCCAGAGCCCAGGTAACAAGCATGCGCTTGTAACCTTGGTGCTGACGAGGTGAGGACGGGAGGATTCCCTGGACTTCGATGGCCAGCTAGTCTAGCTAATCAGTGAGCTTCAGATTTGGTGACTGTCCCACTGGTGGAGAAGTAACTGAGGAAGACTGTGTCTACCTCTGGCATCCTGTGCACACACGCATGCATGTGCCTGTGGAGTCAGAGGGTGTCTTCATTGATGGTCTTTGCCTTCTGCTTTGGATACAAGGTCTCTTTGCTGCTCATTATTGCATATGCCAGACTACTTGGCTCAGGAGCTCCCAAGGGATTTACCTATCTCTATATCCCATCTTGTCTTAGGGTCACAGACATGTACGACTACATCTAGCTTTACATGGGTTCTGGGGCTCTGGATGCAAGTCCCCACACTGGTTTGGTAAGAGATTTGCCTGCTTATCTCTCCAACCCAATCTTCCTTGTGCTGACTGATGGACGTTCTGTTTAGATGTGGACGAGTGTGCCAAGAACTCAAGCCTTTGTTCTCCCACTTTCATTTGCGTCAACACCCTGGGCTCCTACAACTGCTCGTGCCTGTCTGGATTCGCTTTGTCAGTTTCTCAGATCCACGGTCATCCAATTGAGGAGAAATGTATAGGTAATTGTCCAGCCATACTGAGAACTTGCCAATGGAAACGAAATGATTCTGAAACACAGGACTTATAACAGCGACCCTCTGTTCTTGCTCACAATGCTGGTTTTCTTGTTTTGTTTAGTATCAGCTGGGGTGGTGCTTACAATGGCTGGTAGGTCTCAATGGTTGGTCTCTGGATGGGCACCCTACTGAGACCCCCCAGTTTTCACAGTGATCCTTGGGCATCCTCGTAGTATAGGTGCTTTTTCCCAAGAAGATGAATTTTACAGTCTGGGCTTGGAAATCTCAGTACATTACATTCACCACATCCCGTTGGCTACAGTCAAGGACCAATCTATATTCCAAATCGAGTAAGCTGCCTATTTGACTTGGGGAGTTGTGATGGTTAGTTTTTGGTTGTCAATTTGATACAACCTAGGAAAGGCGTCTCATTGAGGGATTGTCTTGATCAGATTGGCTTGTGGGCATGTCTGTGGGGGATTGTCATAATTACACTAACTGATGAGGGATGATCTTCCCACTATGGGTGACATTGCTCCTGGATTTAGGTCCTGAACTGTAGAAGAGTAGAGAGAGCGAGCTGAGGTGAGGCACGCACGCACTAGTGAGCCAAGGTGAGGCACGCACACACTAGTGAGCTGAGGTGAGGCATGCACACACTCTCTGCTCTTGACAATGGGTGTGAATCACTGCTTCCGACTCCTGTTTTGACTTCCCACAATGATGGGCTGTAGCCTAGAATTGTGACCCAAACATATGCTTTCTCCCCCAAGTTGCTCTTGCCAGGGTGCTGTATCACAGTGACTGGAATGGAGTCCAGCACAGGGGTCATGTATCCATTCAGGAAGTGCAGGCTGGATGGCACCCATCGAGCCCATTGTAGTCTTTAATCTCCATGATGGAAATGCTTGTTTTTCCTATTGAAAATGTTTTATTTCTTATGACTTGTTGATCTTCACTAACTGATGACCATGGTAGAAGAAGAGGAGGAAAAAGTTAAAAGGGGTCTTAAAGTGAAGTTAATATGACTTCAAAGACTCACATGAACCCATTCATGCCCCCATCAATACCAAGCAGTAAGACCATTTCTGTCAATGTAACATTCATCTAAGAAAAGCAACTTGAGGGAGGAAGGGTTGACTTTGGCTCACAGTTCCAGGTGGTGGGAAGCCCATCAGGGCGGGAAAGCATGGCAGCAGGCACTGAGGCAGCTGCTCCCATGCACCCACAGTCAGGAAGCAGAGAGAGACGCATGCTGGTGCTCAGCCCATGTTCTCCTTTTATGTAGTGCAGGACCCCAGCACATGGGATGGTGCCTCCAAAATTTAGGGTGGATCTCATCATAATCTGAATAGCCTCCCACAGATATACCCAAAGGCTTGACTTTTCTCTTTAGAAAGTGTGTGTGGGCCGGGCGTGCGGATCTCTGTGAGTTCAAGGCCAGCCTGGTCTACATAGTGAGTTCCAGGACAGCTGGGGCTACAGGGAGACCCTGCTTCAAACAAACTAACAAACAAACCAGCTGCAATGGGAAATAATAATAATAATAATAATAATAATAATAATAATAATAATAAAAAGAAAGTGTGTGTGGGCCTGGCATGGTGGCACACCTTTAATTCCAGCACTTGGGAGGTAGAGGCAGGCAGATCTCTGTGAGATCAAGGGTAGCTTGGGCTACATAATGAGGTCCAGGCCTTCTAGGGCTACAAGGAATGTGTGTGTGTGTGTGGTGTGTGTGGTGTACATGTATATGCCATGGCACATGTGTGGAGATCAGAGGACGATGTTCAGGATTTATTTTTTCCTCCCATCATGTAGGTTCTAGGGATTGAACTCAGGTCATCAGGCTTGCCAGCAAGTGCCTTCACCCACTGAGACATCCTGATGGTCCTGTTTTTATAATTATTTTAGGGTAACTGTGCTTATTAAACTTACTATGAAGCAAACATCCCTCACCTCTGCTAACAGCCTCCCACACTTCATGTTTACCACATTTCTTAATTGCACAAAGAGGCCCCTTCAAGAGATGAATGTGTACAATCTGGGTTTGAGCAAGCACATGGATTTGAACACTTGGTCCCTAGCTGGTAATGCCATTTTAGGAGGTTTAGGAGGTGTGGCCTTGCTGGTGGAAGGATGTCATGGGGGGCGGACTCTGAGAGTTCACAGCCTTTTCCTACTTCCCGCTCTCTGCTTCCTGTTTGCCACTGGAGATGTGAACTCTCAGTTTCTTGTTCTGGCTGTCATGCCTACAGTTTGCCTCCCCTCCAGGATGGACTCTGCCCCTCGGGAACCATAAGCTCACATAAACTCTTCCTTAAATAAGTTGCCTTGGTCATGGTGTTTTATCACAGCCAAAGAAAAGTAGCTAATTCATATACTCTGTGATTTTCTGACAAAAATCACCCAATGATTAATTTATGAGCATGCATTCCCATTAGTAAGCAGCACATGGCTGTACTTTGGAGGTGAAGCAGGGCTTTGCTGGGCTGTTGACTTACTCAGTTTCATGTTCTTTTTCTGGTGTGTATATATCTGCATGTGCTCATGTGTGTATATGTCTGGGGCCTTGGATGTCATTCCTTAGGAGCCATCCACCTTGTTTGTTTGAGACATAGTCTCTCACTGAACCTGGAGCTCACTAATTAAGCTGGCCTGGCTGACCAGTGAGCCCCAGGGATCCCCCTGCCTCCACCTCCCCAATTCTGCGATTACCAGTGCACACCACTATGCTTGTTTTATGTGTGCAATGGTTAGTTTTTATTGTCAACATGACACAACCTAGAATCACCTTTAGAGTCCCAGTGGGGGAGTGTCTGCATTGGGTTGGCCTGTGGACATGTCTGTGGAGGATTCTTCTGTTGACTGTAATTGATGTGGGAAGACCCAGCCCACTGTGGGTGCTTCCATCCCCTAATCAGGGATCCTGCATTGTATGAGTAGAGAACCTGAACCCAGCACTATCTTATGTTTATCTATGCTCTCTGCTTGTAACTGTGGATATGATGCACTTCAGGTTCCCACTTTGACCCCCTAGTGATGGACCTGGAATTGGGAGTTAAAATAAACCTTTGTCCTCTGAGCTACTTTTAGTTGGGGTATTTTATCACAGCAACAGAAATGAACCTAGGACACCCAACTGCTGGGGATCAAACTCAGATCCTCTTGCCTGCCAGGCGAGCACTTCACAGACTGAGTCATGTCCCAGCCCTTCACACTGATTCTCTGCTCCGCAGATATCGATGAGTGTGACGACATCTGTCCTTTCAACTCAACGTGCACCAACATTCCCGGGAGCTACTTCTGTACCTGCCACTCTGGCTTTGCACCAAGCAATGGGGAAGTGGATTTCACAGACCCAGAAGTGTCCTGTGGAGGTGAGCAGAGGGTTTTACAGAGAGCCAGGGAATACTTTTCTCCTTGTTCCTCTGAGTTTCTTGGTACATTTGATTTTTATTACAGATATTGATGAATGCTCCCAAGATCCATCACCATGTGGACGAAACTCTGTCTGCACCAATGTCCCGGGTTCCTACATCTGTGGCTGCCCTGCAGGCTTCCGACCTAATCCAGAGGGCTCTCAGACATATGTCAATTTCAGCTGCAAAAGTAAAAATCTCTTTATGTGTGTTGGCAAGAGGATCAGTGGCTTGTTTTGTTTTAAGCTCTTCATTCTACTCCAGTAACTGGATCCTCCTCTTACTCTCTCTCACCCATGTGTTGTGATTTATTTTAAAATGTGTGTGTGTGTGTGTATGTGTGTGTGTGAGCACTCACACGTGTGAGCATGTGTGTGGATGTGTGTCTGTGTGTGGGTATGTGCACCATTTGAGTGCAGGACCCACAACTTCCAGAAGAGGGCACTGGATACTCTGGAGCTGGAGTTACAGGCAGTTGTGAGCTGTCCAACAGAGGTGCTGGGAACCAAACTCTGGCCCTTTTCTAGAGCACTATACAGTCTTAACTGCTGACTCTCCAGCTCCCCAGTCATTTACTTGTTCATTGATGTACTCAGTAATAAATTATTGAGTGAATCTTGTATCCACTGTTTTTAAAGACAATCTCATGTGTCCTAGGTGTGCCTCAAACTTGCTATGTAGCCAAGACTGATGACCTTGAACTCCTGGTTCTCTTGCCTCCACCTCTGTGAGCTGGTCTGACAGGAGTACATGACCATTGTTTTAAGACAGTGCTGGGGATGGAGCCCAGGGCTTCATACATGCCAGGCAAGCATTCTACAACTGACCTGCAGCCTCAACCCTTAGATCAACTTAAAAAATGCAAACAAACATTGAAGGACTGGTGAGTTGGCTCGGTGGTTAAGAGCACTGGGTGCTCTTGCAGAGGACCTGGGTTCAGTTCCCAGCACTCACACGACAGCTAAAAATAGCCTGTAACTCCAATTCCAGGGGCTCTGACAAAGGCCCTCTTCTGGCCTCTGTTGGCACTGCATGCAGGGTGAACTTGCACACATGCAGACAAAACATTCATACACACAAAAAAGTAAAAATAGATAAATAAAAAACACTGAGTTTTTGACATGTGAATATAACGTTTTGATCAAACTCCCCTCTGCTTCCTCCCATCCAGCTCCCACCAGTTCTCCCTCCCAATTTCATGTGTTCTTTTTTCTTTTTGGTCTTTTTGAGGCAGTGTCTCCCTGTAGCCCCAGCTGGCCTGGAACCTGCTGTTATAGACCAGGCTGGCCTCAAACTCATAGAGATCCACCTGCCTCTGCCTCAGGAGTGCTGGGATTAAAGGCATGTGCAACCACACCCAGCATGTATTCTTTTTTAAACTCAGTGCTGTCTGTATGTTAATGGCTGTGAGATCATGGGTAGACTCTCAGGATGAATCCCCAAAGAAAGCTGAGTCTCCTTCCCCAAGAAGCCATCAGCCATCCATGGCTCCTCAGCTAGAGTGGGGCTCATGTGCCCCTCTCCCTCCACACTAGAATGTTGACTGGCTTGAACTTGTGCAATCATGTGCAGCATCCCGGTCTCGTCCAGAAGACATTGCCTTTAGCCCTCCTCCACTGCTCCTGGCTCTACACTTTCTTCCCCTATTTGCAATGATCCCCGTGCTGTTTTTGTTTTGTTTTTGAGACAGGGTCTCCCTGTAGTCCCAGCTGTCCTGGAATTCACTATGTAGATCAGGCTGGCCTCGAATTCACAGAGGTCCTTCTGCCTCCACCTCCAGAGTCCTGGGGTTAAAGGTGTGAACCACCATTCCTACTTCACCCCTTTTTTCTGTGGTGCTAGAGATGGTAGCCAGGGCATCATACATGCTAGGCAAGTGTGCCACCGGCTGAGCTACAGCCTCAACTCTTGGATCAGCTATTAACTAACTAATTTAGTGACTACTGCATTAGATTTCAGTATTCAGTCATGCATATGATGGGAAGGTTACCTGTAATTACATAGATTGTGATCTAGGGAAGGTGCCAGAAAGCACACACCTAATTATTGGTAGTAACCAAGATGACTACAACAGTATGAAAATCATATTGTTTAGAATTAATCAGTGGGATCTTTAGTATGCTGTGAGAAAATTATGTTGTAGTTTAGGAAAATTAAGTTTTAAATTTTGAGAATTTCATAATACTGTCTTTGCATTATTTCCATTCCCCCATTCTCCCACCAACTCTTCCCCTGGCCCCCGCTCCCTCTCAGTTTCTTGTCCTCCTCTCGGATCATTATATATATATATATAAAGTGCACTGAGCCCATTTAGTGGTGCTCATGGCTGCCTGTGTTTGGGGCTGCCCCTTGGATTGAATAGCCTGTCAGGAAGCCACTTTCTGGAGGAAACTGATGCTCCCTCCCTCAGCATCAGGAAACTTTTTTTTTTTTTTGAGACAGGGTCTCACGTAGCCCAGGCTGGCTTCCAACTCACTATGTAACCAAGGCTGACCTTCAACTCTTGATCCTCCTGCCTCCATCTACCAACAGCTAGGATTATATGTGTGCACTACACCCAGCTTCAAGTGTAAACTTAAAAGAGTGAGAGATTTCACTGTTCCAGGTTACAATATGTGCAAAGGTCCTGCGGTCATGGGTCATGAGTAGAGCTCAGAGTCTTGTTGGACTGTGTAATCTTTTCTTTCAAGAGCAACAGAGAACCATGAACGGTTTAAACATTTTAAGTAATAGGTGTAAAACTCTTTACTTTTATTTTATGTGTATGAGTGTTTTGCCTGCATGTATGTAAGTGCTTAATGCAATGCCCACAGAGGCCAGAAGAAAAGGGCACTGGATCCCCTGGAACTGAAGTTACAGATGGTTCTTAGCCACCATGTGGATGCTGGGAACTGAACCTGGGTCCTCTGCAAGAGTAGTCAGTGCTCTTAGCCACTGAGCCAGCTCTCCAGTCAAGTAACAGATTAAAAGCATTTTTTCACCCTTGAGCCTGTGACCTTTCCAGCCATGGACACTGACCAAGTTCACAGTACTAAGCATGAACATGGATGGAGGAGGGACTCATGAGGCCCCACCCCCAGATGAGGAGCTTTGGATAGTTGATGGCTGCTGGGGGAGGTCAGTTCTCTTCAGGGGTGTGCCCATGGTAGGCTGTCCACACTCCAGTAGATGGTTTCACACCCACTCATGTATGGACAGCACAAATTTGACTCAGTGGACTATTGAAAAAAGAGGACATGAAGATGTGGGTACTTGGGGGTTTGTGGGGGAGATAGGTGGAGATGATCATATTTTATTTTGCACATTCTTGAAATTCTCAAAGAATAAATTAAAAATTATTTTAAAGTTAGAATACAATGTAATGGGAGAGCTATTTTTCTATGTATTATCTATCTATCTATCTATCTATCTATCTATCTATCTATCTATCTGTCATAATCTATCAATCTATCATCTATCATCTATCATTTATAATCTTTTTATCATCTACCTATCAATCGATCTATCATCATCTATCTATCCTCTACCCTCTATTATCTATCTATCTATCTATCTATCTATCATCTATCTATCTATCTATCATCTATCTATCTATCTATCTATCTATCTATCTATCTATCTATCTATCTATCTATCTATCTATCTATCTATCTATCTATCTATCTATCTATCTATCTATCTATCTATCTATCTATCTATCTATCTATCTATCTATCTATCTATCTATCTATCTATCTATCTATCTATCTATCTATCTATCTATCTATCTATCTATCTATCTATCTATCTATCTATCTATCTATCTATCTATCTATCTATCTATCTATCATCTATCTATCTATCTATCTATCTATCTATCTATCTATCTATCTAATCTATCTACCATCTATCCACCTTCTCTCTCTCTCCTCTCTCTCTCTCTCTCTCTCTCTGTCTCTCTAATCGCACTTTGTTCTCATCCATCCCCACCTCCTGCTGGCTTCTCCCATCCCATGACTCTTGCTGGCCTCCTTCCTTGGCTCTTTCTGACTTCATGCCATCTGCATTCCATTACATCTGTTTTTCTCCCTCCCACCTTGAGATCTCTCCCTCCACTCTCACAGGCCCTTCCTATTTTCATGACCTCCATTTAAACCCAGGGCCCAGATGGGAGAAGAAACATGCAGTAATAATTAAAAAAAATTATTTATTTTTTATGCATATGGGTGTATTGCCTGCATACATGTAAGTGCACCCATATTGTGCAATGTCCATGGAGGTCAGAAGAGGGCCTTGGATACCCTGGAACTGGAGTTACAGCTGTTAGAAGCCATGTTGGTGCTGGGACTCGAACCTGGGACCTCTCCGCAAGAAGTCTGCTGAGCCATCTTTCCAGCCCGAATAAATTTTTTTTTTTGGTCTTTTTGAGACAGGGTCTCTCTGTAGCCCCAGCTGTCCTGGAACTCACTATGTAGACCAGGCTGGCCTTGAACTCACAGAGATCCGCCTGCCTCTGCCTTCCAAGTGTTAGGATTAAAGGCATGTGCCACCATGCCCAGCCGAATACTGGTTTTTTAGGTATTAAACTGTATGTTGCCTGGGGAGATACCTCAGTTGGTAAAGCTCTTGTTCTGTAAGCGTGAGGACTTGAGTTTGAATCCCCAGGATCCATGTAGTAAACCAGGTGTGGCGGAGTGTACCTGTAATGGGAGGGCTAAAGAAGGGGGTTCAGGATGGTCCTTGGGCCTCCCTAGCCAGGCAGCCTGGCAGACATGGAGTGTTCTAGGTTCAGTGAGAGAGTGTGATTGAAGAGGACACTCAGTGTCAACTTCTGGCCTCCACATGCACATGCATACACACACACACACAATAAAAAATAAAGGAAAATGAAATAAAGTATAGGAATCCTATATAGTTGCAATGGAGGTGTTGACAAACCCCTCGCTCAGCTGTAAACCCCCTCCTCCCGCTGCCTTCCTTCCCCTCTTGTATTCTTCCTACCCTTGTAATCCTCCTCAGTGATCTGGTCTCCATTTTGTTATCTTTCCCAACCTCTCCTTAAAGCCCCCTTTTAGTTTTCTGGCTGCTCTCCACACTTACAGGCACTTATATATTTATCCTGTAGAACCTAGGATTTGCACATAAGTGAGAGCATATGGTGTTTGTCTTTCTGAGCCTGCATTACCCTGCTTAATATATTTTCCAGTCTTGTCCATTTTCCTGAAATTTTCATAATTTCATTCTTTATGGCTGAATAATATTCCATTGTGTATATGTGCCACATTTTTATTATCCATCCATCTGTTGATGGGCATCTAGGCTGATGCCATTTCCTGGCTCAATTCCTCTAATTTTAAAAATTATTCTCCTTCCAGGAATGGACCATCTTGCTTAGTTTTGCCTGCCTTAGAGTTTTATAATAATGGCATCTTAGCATCTTTTCCTATTAATGTGATAAAGTACTTTGACAAAGGCAACTCAAGGGAGAAGGGGCTTATTCTGGCTCACAATTCACGTTATAGTTCATCGTGGTAGGGAAGTTGAGGCAGGAGCTTGAGGCAGCTAGTCATACTGAGAGACCCGAGTGACTCCATCTTGTATAAAACCTCCATAGGACTGACCCAGCCCTGGGCCCTGTTCCAAGAAAAACCACAATATTTGGAACGGATAGAGAACAACTCCCCCGCCAACGGTCAATTAACCAGGGACAGGAAAGTACTAAAAGTCTAGATATCTTTTCAGATTTCCTGAAGCCAGCAGTTTATGGTTTGGCACTGAGCTGCAACCAATCAGAGGCTTGCCAAGCTGAAGACCCCCTACTCCCCTACCTGCTGAACTTGCTGAAATAAACCTATAAAAACCTGTCTCCCAAAGCAGGGGGTCTCACATCTGAGATCTGCTGAGTTGGTGACAGAGTGGACCCAAGCTTAAGCTTGCAACAATGAAAGAACCCTTGTGTGTTTGCATCTGTCGGCTCCTTGGTGGTCTTTGGGGTCTCGCGAACTGGGCACAACAATATCACATCCACAGTCAGGAACAGAGCACATTGAGTGTGTGCTGGCTGCCCGGCTGGCTGTCTCCATTTTCCACAGTCTAGGATCCTGTCCCAGGCAAAGGTGCTGCCCACAGTTAGGAGTCTTCCCACAGTGACAATCCCAGTGCAGACAAGCCCCCAGAGGCCCGTCACCCAGGTGATTCTAGGTCCTGTTAGGTTGACAGTTGCTGCCAAGGCACGGATGGCACAATGCCGTCTGCTGCCTCTCCCGCCACTTTTCAGTCCTCTCCTCTCCTGCTTTTCCGTCTCTCAGAGCTCCTTATTCCGTGGCGTGTAGCTTGTTCCTCCCCACTGTGTGTGATGGCTGAGGTTGGATTTTATGCACAAAGACGATGAAATCAGACTTGCCTTGCAACCGCATCCTGCTGTTACTAAAGTTTGCTGTGGTTGATTTTTCCTCTTCTAGGGGTTCCCTTCAAGTGTAAGGAAGACATGATCCCCAACAATGAGCAGCTTCGGCAGTGCCAAGCACAGGCGGGCAGGGACCCTGGACATGTAAGTGTTTTTAATATTATTTTTATTTGTCCTCTGAGAATTTCATACGTGCATACAATGAGACATGGTCATATCCACCCCCATTTCTCCCTTCCACCTCCCCCATCCCTCCTCAACACAGCCCCCACCCAACTTCATGTCCTCTTGTTCCTCGATAACCCACCAAGATGTCAGTGCTGCCCATTTGTGTGTGTGTGTGGGGTCATCCTGGCTAACGAAAACCTTCCGGTGACCATGCCCTCCAAAATGGATGACAGCCAACAGCTATCAGTTGCCAATAACACCTCAGCGAACGGTGGGGTTGGAGACCATCTACCTTGTCTAGAAGAGGGTTCTGGTTGGCTTGATCTTGTGCAATAACCACAGCTGCTGTGAATTCATGAGTTTGATAGTCATGTCATGTCCAGAAGACAGCATTAGCCCCACCCTCCTCTTCTTCCAGGATGTTCCCTGAACTTTGGTGGTGGGGGGCTTGACATAGATGTCCCATTTCGGGCTGAGCACCCAGTGTCTTACTGAATATATATTTTGAATGTTTCCAGTTCTTGATGTTTTCCAAAAAGCCACTTGGGTTAGATACTGTGTGTGCATTTAAAATAATAAACATAATAGTGAAATAGCCCAAAACTGTAGTGCCCCAGTTACTTTAGAAAGCAGACACGGTTCCTGTGACTCGAGATGGCTGCTCCAGCTCTTGCCACCAGATCTGCATTGGAGAAAGGCATGCTCCTTCTGTTGAAGAACACACCCAAGACTTCTAGTCACATCTCATTGGCCAAGACATTGACCAGCCAAGACAGTTGGGAAGACAAGTATTTGCCTACCAAAACCTTAGGAATTGTTCTAGTAAAAGAAAAGTGTGTGTGTGTGTGGGGGGGCAGGAGAGATGGCTCAATGGTAAGAGCACTGGCTGCTCTTGCAGAGGATCTGGACCCACATGGTGGCTAACAACCACCTGCAACTCCAGTTCCAGGGGATCTGACTCCCTCCTCCGGTTGCCCTGGGCATTGCATACAGATGCATACACATAAAGCAATTAGGTAGTCTGAAACACCACAACTCATATTTGAAAACTGCAGTGTTTACATTCCAAGTTTTCTGATCATATAGAAACATAATAGTTTAGTTGTGGAAAACAAAGAATTTTACTGTTTCCCCACTGTCATTCCTTAGCATGTAAGAATCCAATTCCAGGCCAGTGAGAAGGCTCAGTAGGTAAAGATACTAGAATTTGATCCCTGGACCCACTTGGTGGGAGGAGAGAACTGACTCCTGCAAGTGGTCCTCTGACTTCCTCTCTCTCTCTCTCTCTCTCTCTCTCTCTCTCTCTCTCTCTCAGAAATGTAATTTAAAAAATAAAATTTAAAAGCAGAATAAAATCATCACTTCAGCATTTTTTTAGATTGTAATGTGGTCATTTGAATTGCTGACTTGAGTTTAAAAAAAAAAAATCATTCAGTGAATTTTGGCCTGAGGTTAGAGAATAATGTCCATCAGTTTTGAAATGGCCCTAATCACATTTCTGTTTTTTCTTACGTATTTGTGAAATGCCATTCTCAGTATTGACTATTATAAAATCAAAATACTGATAACCCTGAAAAATGTTGAAGATTCTCTGTGTCTCAGAGTATCAAACACTCAATGATTTAATTCTTTATGTAAAAATAAGCATACTCATTAATATGCAAATTTGCATTTGTCTTTAATAAGTGGTAAAATTTTATGTGGAGCAAGAATTGTTTACTTTCTAAACTTAAAACCTTTTTGTGGTGCTGAGAACTGAACTCATGGTCAATGTGCCTCCTAAGCCCAAAGAATTGTTTTAAAATAAATTTCTTCATGATGTACTATTGGTAAATGTTTGATTTGTACATATGTCTTTCACATGATACCCAGAGTCGTGTGAAAACTTCTCAGCCAAAAATGGGGTAAGTGAAGAAAGTTTAAGGTCATGAACTCACTTCAGCAAGTGAGAATGTCATATCTATGTGTAGGGATTGTTGACATTGACAGAGTTTACAAATTATCTTTGCAGTTCCCACATACTTTGAACCACTATTTTTCTACCTAATTGTGGTAAAATATGTATAATATATAATCTACCTGTCCTAGTTACTTTTCCTGTTGCTATGATAAAAATTCCAACAAAACAACTTAAGGAAAGAAGGATTTATTTTGGCTCATGGGTCAAGGGTGCAGGCACTGCTCATGATGCATCTGCAGTCAGGAAGCAGAAAGAGATGAATGCTGGTGCTCAGCTCACTGTCTCCCTTTTAAACAACCCAGGACCCCCAGCCCAGTACATGGTGCTGCCCACAGTGGTGGGTCTTCCTACCTCAATTAACCTCATCAAGATAATTCCCCACAAACCTGTCCAGACACCTGTCTCAGGTGATCTATCTCATTATGTTGCTAATTAAGACTAACCATCACACCACCATACTGTGGATTTCAGTAGTAGAGTATTTACAATGTTATGCAAAACCCAGTACTATCTTGTTCCAGACTTTCATCAGTCCCAATGGAAAGTCCGCACTCATTAAACAGTATCTCACCATCCCTCTCCTTCCAGGCCCCAACGCTAAGCAACTTTCTGTGTGAATTTGTGTGTTCTAGACAGTTTCTATATGTAGAAGAATTCTACATATGGTATGGCTGGATCCTGTGGTGAATCTATGTTTAATTTTCTGGGCAGCTTCCACAGTGAATTCTACTACAGCTGTGCCTTGTACTCCTGCCAGCAGCACCGGAAACTTCTTTCCCCCAAACTCTCACCAGCATTTGCTGCCCTATTTTATTCCACATTTCGTTTCTTACTGAGAATTTCATACATGCATATTTCATGCTTTGATCAAATCCAGCCCCATTTTTTCTCCCTGGCTTCCTCCCCATCTTCCCTACTATGTCTCCTTCCCGACTTCCTGTGCTCTTTTGTTAAACCCACTGAGTCCACAACACTGTCTGTTTTCTCGTGGTTTCCTTCTGACTTTGGCGAGATAGAACCTCAACACAGTTTTACAATGTATTTCCATTTACAGGAATGCCAAGCACTGGAGAGCTGGCTCAGTGGTTAAGAGCCCTGGATGCTCTTGCAGAGGACCTGGGTTGGGTTCTCAGCATCCATGTGGTAGCTAACGCCAGTTCCAGGAGATTGGACACCTTCTTCTGGCCTCTTCAGCCACTACATGCACGTAGCACACACACATACACTCAGGCAAAACACTCTTACAGATAAAATACAAATAAATACATCTTAAAAGGTGTTAAAAATGAATATTGAGAATTTGTTTCATGTAATTATTGGGAACTGTATTTTTCTTTGACAACTGGCTATTCATTTCTAAATTAATTTTATCAACATGTATGTTGCTTAACTTTAATTATCAACATGATCCAATCTAGAACCCCCGGGGAACAGAGCCTCATTGTGTCCATCGGGCTGGCCTGTGGGTATGTCTTTTGGGGCGGCACTGTTCCCCAGTCGGGGCTCCTGGCCAGTTATAAAAGCGAGCCAGCACGCAGCACTTCTCTCTGCTCTTGACTGCGGGTGTGACGTGGTCAGTTGTTTGAAGCGCCTGCCTTGCCTTCCCATGATGGACTGTGACTTGGAATTGTGAGCCAAACGAACCTGTTTCTCCCCTAAATCGTTTTTTGTCAGAGTGCTTTAGCACATATTCAGGAATGCAACTAGGACGGCATGTGTAATTAATTATACATTCTAGTGGAGTAGAGCAGGAAATTTCAACATGAATATGCAGTGTGCACCGATCACATCCAGGGAATTACATTTCTGTCCTCTCTTTGTTTAGGTCTGGGGTCTTCACCTCATCTGGCTATTCACAGAATATACACTAGGTTAACACGAACTGCCTTCCTGCTGGGATGTGGGAAGCAGAATCTATTCTCTTAATCTAATCTCTTCAGTGCTTCCTACCCATGGACTGGCTCAACTTCTAATAAAATGAAAAGTTGGGCCAATGAGCATTTATCTCCTGGAGAATTTAGACTCAGGAATATATATGCCCACCTACTTGCTGAGCTTTATTGTCCAACCTGTGGACCGCACATTCTGTGGACAGATTGACAGATACTCACAGGCCCTCTTCCTTCCTGGTCACAGGTCTCCTTTTGTGCACTGGTAAACAGCACCTTCAGCATTTTGGATAACACCTGTGAAAACAAAACCAGACCAGTGTCCCTGCAGGTAATGATGGAATCTTTACGGTGTGTCTGAGCTTTCGCTGTGTGCCTCTGTGTGGGTGTGCACTTGAGCGTGCAGGTGCATGTGTGGGGATGTCAAAATTCAACCACGGGTGTTGTCCCAAGACGCTCTTCACCTTTAAGATTTTTTTGTTTAGTGTGCAAAGTATCGGGTCTCATTATGACATTTCATAAGTGCATGCCATTGAACTTTGCTCATGTCCCACCTTCTCTTCCTCCTCCACATCCCCTTATCCTTTCTCTCCCTTATCCTGTTCTCTCTTTCTACTTTCAAAATAGATCACTTTATTTTGTTGTTATTATTATTACTATTGTTGCTTTATGAGCCAGGGTCTCCCCGCAGCCTCAGCTGGCCTGGAACTCTCTAGGTAGACCAGGTTGGTCTCGATCTCACATAGATCTGCTTGCCTCTGCTTCCCACGTGCTGGGATTAAAGGTATGCACTACCACATCTGACTTTTTTTTATAATTACAATTTTGTATCTTTTTAGAATTCCCTATATGAACAGTATATTCACGTCATTTCAACCTCCCCTCTGCTCCTCCAGCTCCTCCCAGTGTTTCCCTACCTCTCTCTCAATTGTCTTCTTAATTATTGTTACATATATATGTATGTAAGTATGCATTACTATTAGATATACAACCCACAGTCTGTCTAATGTGGCTTAGATTACATGTGTGTAGGGCTTATGCCTGCTTCTAGATACTGTTTTCCAAATATGTTAAGGAAGCTGCTTATTTTTATTATTTTTAAAAACAGAGCATCTTTTATTAATTCTTGGACAATTCTATACATGTACACAATGCATCTTCCACTCCTCCCAGGTCCAGCGTGTCTCCATTCCCTTCCATGGCCTTCCATTTTATAACCCACTGAGTCCAATTAGTGCTCCTTGTTGGAATGTCGACTGATCCTGTCCCCTGATCTGGTGCAGGTGACCACAGCCGCAGTGAGTTCATGAGCAGAGTGTCCTGTTGGGGCCAGAAGGCAGCCTTTCACAGGTCTTCTCCCCACACCCTGGCTCTTACATTCTTTCCACCCACTCTTCTGCAGTGTTCCCCTAGTCTTGTTGGGGAGGGTGATGCAGATGTCCCACGCAGAGCGGAGCACTCAGTACTCACTTGTTCTCAGCATGCTGACCAGTTACACACATCATTTTCCATTGCTACATCTCTTCAGACACTTCATATTTCATTTAGAAGAGCTGCCTTGTTCTTTGAGACACAGTCCCAGAGCTCGTTGATTCTGCTCAGCTGGCTGGCCAGCAATCCCCCAGGATCCCTGTCTTTGCCATGAAACTGCAGCAAAATTACTTTCTGGTCTTTTTGGATGTATAGTTTTGGGAGTTTTATCACCCAAACCAATCAGTGGAACTAGCACCTAATTAGGACATAGCCAGTTTCATTTGTGCCAAAATTCTCTTGGGATTTCCCTTATTTTTTTGTGGTCCTGGGGATGGAACTCAAATATTCATGAGTGCCAGAACAGCAGTTGTCAGTAGAGCTGCAACCCAGCCTGAGGTTATCTTTGATAACTAGATATTTCCTCCACCAGTAACCCTACAAACCCACAATCCATTCTTACTCATTGTAGTTTTGTTATTTCAACGATGCTACATAAGGGGTTGGAAAGCTTGCTCAGTGGTTAAGAGCACTGGCTGCTCTTGCAGAGGACCTGGGTTTGGTTCCCAGCATCCATATGATGGTTAACAGCTGTCCAGACTCCAGTTCCAGGGGATTCAACAGCCTCCATGGGCACTACACTCCAGTGCATACCATTCAGATACACATTAAGGAAAAAGAACCTTACATAAATGCAATCTTGATGTGATGGTGCACACCTGTAATTCCATCACTTGAAAGACTGAGGCAGGAAGATCACGAGTGTGAGGATAGCCTGGGTTACCCAGTAAGATCCTGCATCAAAAATGAAAATAATTTTATATAAATGGGATCACATATTAGATGGGTTTGATGGTCAATACTGTCAACTTGATAGTATCTAGAATTACCCAAGATACAAACCTTTATATCTGTGAAGGACTCTCTAGATCAGGTTAGCCAAGGTGGAAGGACCCACCTTAACTGGGCAGCACCATGCAATAGGCTGAGGTTCTGGACTACAGGTAAAGGAGACAGTGAGCTGAGCACCAGCATTCACCTCTCTGCTTCTTGACTGTGGATGCTGTGTGACCAGCTGCCTCCTGCTCCTGCCACCATGCCTCCCTGACACGATGGACTGCATCTTGAAACTGTGAACCGAAATAAACCCTTCCTTTCCAAGTTGCTTTCGTCAGGTGTTTTGTCACAGCAACGTGGAAGGTAACTAACACAGTGGTCTTTTGCATCTGGTCTTTCCCCTCCAAAAAACATCATGCATTTGAGATTCCTCTACATCTTGCCTATCAATACTTTTATTCTTTTTGTTAAAAGAAATGATCATTAGTAGTGTTTAGAATAATGTTGAGCAGTAACCACCATGTTTTAGATCTAAAGCATTTTCATGATTCTCTGAGGAGGCCCTTCACTTGGGGCTGGAGAGATGGCTCAGTGGTTAAGAGGACATACTGCTCTTGCAGAAAACCTGGGTTGGGTTTCCAGTACTCATACGACAGCTCACAACTACCTATAACTCCAGCTCCAGAGGATTCAACACTCTCTTCTGACCTCAGTGGGCATCTCACTTATGAGTGTACTTATACACATGCACATACACACACACACACACACACACACACACACACACACACACACATTAACTGTCAAGTAAATCAATGCCATCAGACAGACAGGCAGGTACTGGGGTAACTATGAATTTCAGGGTAACTACATATTTTGGTTGGTCCTATTTTGTGACACATGACTTCTCTTATCTAAAGCCATCAGTTGTTCTGGGTTCTATAAATCTAAAGAAAAGTTACAAGTTAGGACTCCTTAAGGCATGTCCAGGACAGAGGGTCAGGGGACAGAGTGCTCACCTAGCACGTATGAATCCCTGGGTTCATCCCCAGCATCACATAAACCAGGTGTGTCAGCTCACACCTGTCATCTCGGTACTCAGGAGGCAGAGGCAGGAGGATCAGGAGTTCAGGACCATCCTTGGCCATATAGGGAGTTGAAGGCCAGGCTGGGCTATGTGAGACCTTGTCTTAAAAATAAAGGAGTAAGTCTTATGATATGGTTTTAGATCCTTCCCAGGAGTTGTTCATTTTGCACCCAATGGCTGGATACAAAAATGCAGTCTTTGTTTCCGGACTGCCAGAATTCAAATCTTCTCTTAAAAAAAGATTTTATTTTTAATTTATTGTATGTGTGTGTCTACAGTGTGTATGTGCACATGTGTGTGCAGGTATCTCTGGAGGCCAGAAGGGGATGTCAGATTTTTTGGAGCTGTAGTTATCAGTGTTTGTGAGCTGCCTGAAGAGGCTGCTGGGATCTGAACTCATGTCCTCATAACTGAGCAGCAAGTGCTCTCAGCAATCGAGTCATCTCTCCAGCCCTGAGTTCAACCTGGGTGATACTACCAAACTATGAATACAATCTGAATCCTTGTTTCCCATCTCAAGCCAGAAATAATCATTGCATATAAATTCATAGACGTAACACTGAACGAGCTGATATATGCATATACATATATGTATGTGTAAATACAATGCTTGAACCTATAAAACTGTCTGGTTCAGGTTGAAGAGACGGCTCATTTGGTAAAGCACTGCCCTGCAAGCTTGAAGACCTGAGTTCAAGCCCTGGAACCCACATTAAGAAACATCCAGGTGCAGTTGCACACATTTGAAATCTTACTTCTGGGCAGGCAGAGACAGGTGGATTCCTGTAGCTTACTGGCCAGCCTGTCTGGCCTACTCAGTGAGTTCCAGGCCACTGAGATACCCCTCATTAGTTACTTTTCTGTTCTTGTGATAAAACATCATAATCCAAAGCAGCTTGTGGAAACAAGAGTTTACTCTGATTTAGGGTTCCAGAGGGGGAGCTCTTAATGGTGGCATAAACTGTGGCAGCAGGCTGCTGGAGAGCCCATTTTATTGGGCAGGAAGCCAAGGGATTGAACAGGAAGTGGAGCAGAGCTAGGACCTCTCAAAGCCCGCCCCCTGTGACATGCTTCCTCCAGCAAGGCTCCTCCTAAAGGCTCCACAACCTCCCCAAACAGCACCACCAACTGGGGACCAAGTGTTCAAACACATGAGCCTATGGGGGACACTTTTCATTCAAACTGCCACAGACCCTGACTCAAAAGAGCAAAAACAAGAAGATGGAGGAATCTGATCAATGATAGCTGAGCTTGGCCTCTGGCCTCCACATGCATGTGCACACATGTGTTTTTGCACACACACATGGAGAGATAGAGAGGGAGGGGAGGCAATATCTGGCCTGGAACTCACTATGGAGACCAAACTGGCCTGGATCTCTCAGTGATCTGCCTGCCTCTGACTCTTGAGTGCTGGGATTAAAGGTGTGTACCACCATGTCTGGATTAAAATGTTAT